GGCATAAAACTGAGGAAATACAAGCACCAAAATTGACTGGGTTACATACTCTCCACACAGAAAACAACTGAACAAGTTTTTTCACTTCGCTATCACTCAGAGTAGTTTATAAAACTTCCTTTGCGTTTTCTATCTCCTAGTATAAAGTTATACTGTAGATGAGTTTTCTGTGGTAGATGCGAAGATGCATTTTTGGGATGAAGATCAGAACTGTGTGCTGGACACTCAGGCCGAGTGATAATGTAAAGTCAAGTTAATGTATAACGTATAGTTCCAGCATTATACAGTTATGAAACAATGAAAACTAAACATCAGTAAATTATAGTTCAGTCTTTAAGCAGGTTTTAAGCAGCATGTATGCAAAGTTTCCAATCTGCTGTACTTTTGACTGAAATGAAGTGACTGAAAATCTGTAACAGTGTGATCTAAAAGCTTATTTATTTTACTAACATTTGGCATTTTCACCCACTACCTCTTGATTTTTCAAAGTTGTTAAAAAAAATAACCTAAAGCACAACTATCTGGTAATAGTTGTCATGTTTTGATCAATTTTAGGTTAAAAACAGTTGGTAAAATAATATGCACAAACTGGAGTTAGGAATTAGAAAAATGTCAGACAGGAGCTCTATATAAGACTTTGTGTGCATCTTTACTCACAGGTTTACAACAAGCTGCCATCAGAAGTTTAGCCTCATTTTACCAACACTGACTCGTTCTTATCGGAAAAATAAAAAAAATCACCAGTTGATGTCTGTGTTTTCAGCTTTGATGACGTACAGCAACAATGAGGAACTCACCTGCCTTCAAACTGATTATATACGTCTTATTATATACTACTATAAAATACTTCCATAAGTACACCAACAAAAAGTCAGCTCTACTTCTTCAGGCGGCTGAGACGAGCTGGTCTGGGAAGCTCAGTCCTCACCTCCTTCTACAGGTGTGCAGTGGAGAGCATCCTGTGCTCCAGCATCAACGTGTGGCATGGAGGCTGCACAGCTGCAGAAAGAAAAGCTTTGCAGAGAGTGGTGAAGGCTGCACAGAAGATGTTGGAGTCAGCCTCCCCACCATCACAGACATCTACACCTCTAGATGCAGGAAGAGGGCCACTTGCATCATGAAGGACCCCACTCACCCAGCACACACACTTGTTGTCCCACTCCCCTCAGGAAGGAGGTGGAGGAGCATTAAGTGTAGAACCACTAGACTGAGGAACAGCTTCTACCCTGAAGCTGTTAGACTCATGAATATCAAACCAGAAAAATCACTGTAAACCACTTTAATTGGTGATATGTGACTTATTTGTGCTGCTGATTATCCACGCTGCTGATCCTCAGCTTACCTGTGCTGCTGATCTTTTGCTCAACTGCTGTATTCATACCCATCTGCTCACGGTCAGACTCATGTTCGGGCTGGTGTTTAATACTGTTTCTTTTGACACTTTATATTTTTGGGTGTAACCGGGACACCTAGAGTACACAGTTTTGTTCCACCACATGTACCGCATGTCATGCGAATGGCAATAAAGAACCTTGAACCTTGAATAGGGTGTTGCACTCAGGCTCAGCTCAGACTAGTCTCTCGCTCAGCTCTAAGAACTCTCTTTGTAACAATAAAATCAAAAGCTGTAACACAGAGGGACGCAGGAGACAAATGGCAGAACATTTAAAGAAAAGTTCAATGTTTTAGAAACGGTTTCTAATCGGAAAACATGCAACTTACATTTCGCACTGTGAAACTGTGCATGACCATGGGAGGTGGGGGGGGGGGGAGCAGCTTTTATTGTCTGTACAAGTCAGGGACATTTTGTAGCATGGCTATACCTGAATATTGGGATAATCAGTGGGTTATTCAACTGAGTAATTATTACTAAAGTATCTGACAGCTGCTGCATTACGGTACATCGTGTTTCCTCAACGTACGGATTTCAAAGCCAGAAATAGTTTCGAGGACATGGAAAGTTCCATCATTGCCGTTGTGAGCTGTGAAGTGGTGCCGCTGTCTTCCACCGACTTCCTATCTGGCTCACAGTCTTCAGAGATGGGCTAAATGAGTGGGTCATCTATCACAAAGAGGGGAGAGGGAGAAATTTATAGCTGTGAAAATAGGCCAGAGCACAGCTCGGATGGAATAGATAGAATGTAATTAGGACAAGGTTAGCCTGCTTTACACCCTTTCCCTCTCTCTCTCTTCACACACACACACACACACGTGCAGTGTAACATGGTGCACACTGATGCCATTGTCTGGTTATATGTGAGTTTTCCCTTAAGATGCTGACAAGAACTCAGTGTCTGATTCTATTGGAACTAAACTTGTTCTTTTACCCCCAAAGTGGAGTAAACTCAGATCCACGGTCATTTATCTTCCACATGCTTGTAAATCACATTTTCACACTCACTCACACCTTTTAATGAACGCACGCTGCATCAAATTTATCTGAGGAGCAGACTGCTTTGAGTTTAACTTCACCACAGAACTCTCATCTTGAGCAGGAATGAAGGCGACAGTGGAAAGGAAAGACTCCCTCGTGAGGAAGAAACCTTTAGCAGAACCAGACTCAGGACAAGTGGCCATCTACTTCGACCTGCTGGGTTTGGTAGGAACAGATACACAATGGCAGGTCAAGAATCGCATGTTAAGAATGAAGGTATCAACTGAAAACTATTCAATTTTAGAAAATCATTTAAGGAAATGAGGTCAGTTTGTCCTCTAGTAGTCTAAGCCTATAGTATCATAACAAGCCGACCCTAAAGGATTTATCAAAAAGGAAAGTCTTAAAACTGGACAATGTGTCAACCTCATGGACAGAAACTGGAAGTTGGTTCCACAAGAGAGGAGCCTGAGAACTGAAAGATCTTCCTCCTATTCTGATTTTGGAAACTCTAGGAACCTCAGGTAAGCCTGCAGTTTGAGAGTGAGGTGCTCTGTTAGGCAAATATGAGACAATACAATCTGTAATATAAAATGGAGCTAGGATGTTGAGAGCTTTGTAGGTTAGAAGTAAGATTTTGAATTTAATTCTGGATTTGACAGGGAGCCGGTGGAGAGAAGCTAAAACTGGCGACATATGATCTCTCCCAGTAACTCCAGTTAAGACTCTGGCAGCAGCATGTTGGATCAACTGAAGACGTTTTAAAGAAGTATGTGGACACCCAGATAACAAACCATTGCACTAGTCCAGTCTAGACGTGACATGAACCAGTTTTTCTGCATCATTTTTAGATAAGATGTTTCTAATTAGCAATATTACGCAGGTGGAAGAAGGAGATTCTGGTAACATTTTAATGTGTGGGGGTTAAAAGACACGTCCTGATCGAACATAACACCAAGATTTTTAACATTAGAGCTGGAGTTCAGATTAATTCCATCCAAGGAGGGAGAAA